CCTCCTGAGTAGCTGGGATTACAAGTGCCTGCCACTGTGCCCAGCTAATTTTTGTATTTTTAGTAAGATGGGTTTCACCATGTTGACCAGACTGGTCTTGAACTGCTGACCTCAAGTGATCTGCCTGCCTCAGCCTCCCAAAGTGCTGGGATTACGGGTGTGAGCCACCATGCCTGGCCAGTTCTCAAAAGCTTGTGCCATACAAGCTACATGCTCTAGATTCAGAAACATTGTGGGTTCATATGAGAAATTTTATTTGAATTATATGATCTCTTCAAGATCAGCCCTACATAATTCAGGCTGTTTGTGTTTGTTTCCTGAGATATCTTCATTCATCCCTTAACCTCTTCTAAAGAGGCCTAGCACATAGATTTGCTGATACAAGGTTTTAACACTTCTTTTACTTTTTGGCATCTAAATCTTACTTCCAAGTTGTTTGAGCTAATGATTTTTTTTGTTGTTGTTGCAGAGTTTGAATTGATGCATGTAGATGAGTTTATTGATGAACTATTGCACAGTGAAAGAGTCTGTGATATCATTTTGCCCCGGCTACAGGTAAGAAATAAAAGTCTCTTACCAGAGTCACCCTTCTCTTCCTAGATAGGCAGACAGACAAACATGTATACACAGCTAAAACACTGAAGCCTGTGGATCTTATGGGTCCTCTTAATAACAGTCTTCCTGTCAATGAGAAAGATAGTGGATTGGGAGTGACAGGAAAATAGATAAAATATTTGAAGGGTAGGGCTCTAAAAGTAAATAGTTAAGAAAACTGTCTTTCCCCATCCTCTTGTAGTTCATAAACATGGTGATTGGGGGGTTCCCGTGCATGTGAGATGTGCCTCCCTCAAATCTTATAACGTCAGCACATTACCCGTCTATCATGGAAAAAAATTTCTTTAGGGTGTTATGTCAAGGATATTGTAGCTAGAGTAGGCGTTTTTTAACTTCATGATCAGCTTTTTTCAAACTAATCTTCATGAAAAAGCCAGGACATAAAACATAAAAAGAGAGCTAGGAGTGGGAGACTGAGCCCTTAATTCCTTAAACTTGCCCTTTATCATCCTGCTTCCCTTTCCTAGTGATAATCGATTATCCATGAGGCATCTTTTCAGGAATGGGCTTTATAATTTTAAAACTGTTACAAAATGCAAAGGAAATACAGGTAAGGTAGCTAGTCTAAAGAGAAAAGGAATGGGCTAAAATGGAGAAGCAACTGAATAGGAAATTAGGAGGCCTGAGTTTCTGTGTTATTACAGCTGACTAGCTGTAGGACCTTGTCTTAATTTCTCTATGTATAAAATGGGGAAATGAGACTACCTCTGTCTTGTGGGGCTCTTTTAGAGATACTGACAGGAAGTGAAGATAGCCCCACATATTCAACTAGGTTACTTCCTTTTTCCTCTAGGTTATATGAGCGGTGAGATTTTGTTTGAACAGAGGCTTTTTTGCTTTTAAATGGTTTGAGGTTTAATTGTCTGTATATCCAAAGTATAAAATTTGATGAGTCATTTTTGTTTTTTTGAGATAGAGCCTCACTCTGTCACCCAGGCTGGAGTGCAGTGGTATGCAGTGCCTCCACCTCCTGGGTTCAGGCGATTCTCATGCCTCAGCCTCCTGAGTAGCTGGGACTACAGGCAGGCGCCACTGTACCAGGCTAATTTTTGTATTTTTAGTAGAGATGGAGGTTCACTGTGTTGGCCAGGCTGGTCTTGACCTTCTGACCTCAGGTGATCCACCCACCTTGGCCTCCCAAAATGCTGGGATTATAAGTGTGAGCCACCACACCCAGCCTCAGGTTGCCTTCTTAAATGCTCTGAAGTGCTTGCTTCCTTTTAGATAGAAACCAAAGACGATAATTTAAAAATAAAAGGTCACATATGATATGGTTCCTTTTATATGGTATATCCAGACTAGGCATAGAGACAAAAAGGCAGATTAGTGGTTGCCAGGAGATGCAGAGAGTGAGGAATGAGGATTGATTACTTAATGGGTATGAGGTATTTTGGAGGGATGATAAAGTTTTGAAACTTTAGTTTGGTTGCACAACACTGTGAATACAATAAAAGCCACTCAATTATACATTTAAAGTAGTTGTATTATGTGAATTCCATCTCAATTTTTTCAGAAAGATCAAAGAGATCAGAAAAACTCCAAAGTGGGGAATTGAATGGATACAAGTATGTGATAAATGGGTGAGATTAATTTGCTCAAGGCAGCAAACCTGCTGGATAAAAGTATTTGGTAGATGGATGTTTATGCTTAAATGAAGAACATCTCTTCCTCCACATTGACCCAGTCATAATCTTATAAAATAAAAATCCTGAAAATGGGTGTGATACATCTCTCCTGTTCCATATTGGCACTGTAGAGTATGTAAAGAATAAGATTATAAATTTGAAAACCTACTTTGAGGGCCCAATTCCCATAGCAAGAGTCTTGCTATGTTCCCTAGGCCGGTCCCAAACTCCTGGGCTCAAGGGATCTTCCCACTTCAGTCTCCCAAGGAGCTGGGACCACAGACACGTGCCACCACATGTAGTGATTTGGCATTTTTGAAATCAGTTTTGCCTCTCTGATTCTTAGCCACTCAAACATTGCTAAGCCATATCCCAGAGTAAAATGGAACCAGTTCAAAATGCATGAATATGAACAGAACCCTAGATCATGGGTCTAATGGAGATTTGATGCCACTTTAGGGCTGGGCCTCTTTTGGTAGAACTACCAGCTATGAACTTATTAGCCCTTGGACTTTCTCTGTGTATGAAGCCTTTATTTTTGGTTCTAGGCTATATCTATGATGATTGATATTCCCATGAGTTTAGAATATAAGATCATAGGGAATAGAGCCAATAGAAGATGAAGATGTTCCCTTCAAGTTTGTATTTATGTTTATAGGAGAAATTGAGTTTCTAGATTCTAGGTCTGTTAAACTTGTTAGGAAAATCTTGAATGCCTTTTAAATGAAATTGCCTCAGCTGTTGCTCTTTGGAGCCCTGAAGCCCAATGGTGAGGTTTCAGGAAATGGCAACAACTCCTAACTCTCATTACTTTCTCCATAGAAACGCTATGTATTAGAGGAAGCTGAGCAACTGGAGCCTCGAGTTAGTGCTCTGGAAGAGGACATGGACGATGTGGAGTCCAGTGAAGAGGAAGAGGAAGAGGATGAGAAGGTCAGGCACCTAAGACTTTGAGAGCTTTAGGGGAGAGAGTTATAGAAAATGGGAATGGTTTTTTGTTTCTAGACGTTTTTTCTTTTTTGAGACTCTCACTTTGTCGCCAGGCGCTAGGCTGGAGTGCAGTGGCATGATCTCGGCTCACTGCAACCTCCGCCTCCTGGGATCAAGCAATTCTCCTGCCTCAGCCTCCAGAGTAGCTGGGACTACAGACGTGTGCCGCCAAGCCCAGCTAATTTTTCAATTTTAGTAGAGATGAGGTTTCACTGTGTTGGCCAAGATGGTCTTGATCTCTTTTTTTTTTTTTT